GAAAGGATCCACCGATTCGATCAGTTTAGAAGTCAGCTGTGGGTCTGTCATCTGTGAAGTTTCCGCTTGTGTTTAAGCAGTTATTTTTCGTGTTATTACTATGGGAAAGTTAAAATGAGAACTGCGTATATAATGCATGAAGTACTAGGGGAAATGGGTATATATGTTTATAGATATGGAATATGCCGTGGGCCAGCAGTTGCTGTAATGGCCTTGTCGCTGGACTCCCACGTAGTCGACCAGTTTGAGTCCCAGACCCCATGGCTGAAACTCATGCTGGGCGCGTGTGCGTGCGTGCCCAAGATCCCAAGAGGAGACTGGAGGAGAAGGGATTGCAGTGTGGCCATCCCCCCGGGGGGGGGATTTCTCGCTTTCTATCTCTCTGTCTCTCTCTCTCTTTCTGGTGAGCACACGCGCCCTTTAGCAAAAACCTCTCCAAAAAAAAAAAAAAAAAAAAGAAAGAAAGAAAGAAAAGAAAAGAAAAGGAATACACCTGTGATAAGAAAACGAAAACGTAGTGATGGCTGAAGGGTAAAACAGTAGAATGGACGATCAGGTAGGGGTTCTTGAAAAGCATAGATTCTGGAGGCGGCAGGGTGAGGGCAGCGGAGGCCAGGAAGGTGGCTCGGCCCCAGAGTGTGATTCTGGGGATCAAAACTGCTCCATTCTTGGCCATCTTAGGTGTCCTGGAGACAGAGCGCCTACCTGGGCTGAGCGGTGGGTGGTGGCCCGCCCGGCATTTCTGCAGCTTTCTTCACAGTCTTTAAAGAAACCTGGGGACTGTGTTCCTTTTCAGTTCTGCGGTTGATTTCACCAAGTCTTATTTAATGCCTAATTACTAAATGTTTTTCAGCAAAGGAGTGAGGCACAGCCTTTGAGCCAGACAAGGCATGGAGAGGTAGCTGTGGGGCCTCCCAGTGTCCGCCGGGCCCGAGGCAGCCTCCACTCTCCTGCCGGCCGAGGAAAACCCACACACTTGCCTGCAAAGGCTGCTCCTGGGCTTCAGTTATTGGTGCTCTGATGGGAACTGTCGCCTCACAAACCCTCCGTGTGTGTGTGTGTGTGTACGCATGTGTGCATGTGCTTTTGTGTGTGTGTGCGTAGGATACATCACAATATAGTCTTTTTTTAGGAGAGGTTTTTGCTATAGAGCGCATGTACTTATCAGAAAGACAGAGAGAGACAGAGAGACAGAAAGTGAGAAATCACCCCTCAGGGGAGATGGCCACACCACAATCCCTTCTCCTCCATTCTCCTCTAGGGATCTTGGGCACACACGCACACACCCCCGGCATGAGTTTAAGCCACCGGGTCCAGGACTCGAACCACGGTCGACTACATGGGAGTCCAGTGACATAGCCATTATGCCAACTGCTGGTCCCACATCACAATATAGTCTTCATTTCTGCCAAAAACCCGGAGAAAAAGCTGATGCTTTGATGAGATCAACACTTGAGTCCAAAGAAGTTTCTCAGCAGCAAAAACACTTTTGTGGGTTTTCCTTGTTCGCTCATGTTAATTCAGCAAGGAATGGCATGTATTTGTTAGGAAATGTAAGTTTGCAAACCCAGGAGCCCAGGCCAGACTGGCTTAGTGAATAACCACAATCATGGGCTCATTTAATGGGAAGGTCCAGAGGAAGGACAGCCTCAGCTATTCAACAATGCGCTCCTCTGTAGAGAGGCGTCACTCCGGCTGAGGGGCCGCAGACGGTCCAGGTTCACAGCCTCGCATCGGGGGCCCTTCTGTCTTGTCATCACCTGGCCTGGGCCGGGGACCAAGGACCGCAACAGGTGAGGTCCCCCAACCAGCGTTGGTGCTCTCCGCGTGTGTGTTCGTGTGTGTGAGCACGTGTGTGCGTGTCAGTTTCAGTTGAAAGCCGAGTGCAGTGAGGGCGTGGGAGGCAGGAAGGCTGCGGCAGGGACAAGTGCCCACTGCTGCCGAGGTCAGAGCGCGTCCTCCGAGCGTCCGCTGACATTCCCACGCAGTCGTGACGGCACGGAGCGGGTGGGCTGCCGAGGTTAAACACTGGGCGCTTTGTAGGAGAGGGAGGGAGACCGGAGTAGACACATGCTCTCACCCTCTTGTCCTGTGATGCCCTCACCCCGGGGGACCCTGCAGGTCCCTCCTAGCAGGAAGGCCCTCGCCCGGTGTGACCCCTTCACTGGGAGCCCCAGAATCTAAGTTACCCAGTCTGCGACAGGAGAATGGACTAAGGCAACCACGGAATATGTGCCCGCTCTGGGCGGTGACAGTGTGGATGGGGAGACCTGCTGCTCTCCCAGGGCCGCAGGGAGAAATAGTTCAGACGAGACGCATCCCAGAATACCTACACACCAGCATGCTTCACTGTGGGGCTACCCACCTTTGATGTTAGAGTCAGACGCTCATGAAAGGGCTCCGAATGTGCAGGACTCCTGGCTCGGCCGCCCTGGAACCCCAGCATTCGCGTGATGGAACACAGGCCAGCAGATGGCGCCGTGGTCACGTTGCTGGCCAGCAGATGGCGCCGTGGTCACGTTGCGCCGTGGTCACGTTGCTAGCTCCCACGTGGCTGGCCCAGGTACCAGACTCAGTGGTTTAAAAGTCGCGTGGGGAGCATGTGTGTGCGTGCCCAAGGTCCCGGGGGAGAATGGAGGAGAAGGCATCGCAGCATGGCCACCCTCCCCCAGGGGTGGGGGGACTTCTCACTTTCCCTCTCACTGTCTTAGTGGCTCGCTCGCCAGTGAGTGCATGTGCCCTAAGGCAAAAGCTTCTAAAAAGAGAGAGAGAGAGAGGAAAGAAAAGAAAAAGAGAAAGAAAGAAAAGATGAAGAAAAAAAGGAAGGAAAGAAGGAAGGAGAAGAAAGGAAAAAGGAGGAAAGAAAAGAAAAGAGAGAAAGGAAGGAAGGGAGGGAGGGAGGGAGGGAGGAGGAAGAAGAGAAGCACAGGAATGGAGGGAAAGCACTGGATGGGAAGGGATGAGGCCTTGGCGAGGGGCCCCAGGAGTGTCTCACTTCACGGTGGCTCTTTGTCTTCAGCACCCAGGGTCACCCACGGAGGGCATGTGCTGCAGAGGCCCACGCGTCCCTCCCGTCCTGGCCCCCGGGCGGACGCCTAGTGGACCCTCGAGCACACTGCCCGCTGCGTTAGTGTCTCTGGGGCAGCCCCCGACCAGCACAGGGCGTGCCAACGTGTCTCGAACCGAGATTACCCCAGAGCAGGCTGCCTGCCCAGGTCCTGGACTCAGGGTCAGCTCTGGGAAAACCGCAAGGAGGCACATGCTGCCCCCTGAAAGTCAGGGCTGCTATGGTGCAGCTCCGAGCACCCGGGCGAGGACACTCCGTGCCCTTCACTCTGAAGTCCCTGCCCGTCCCTGTCTCTCCACCACTCCCGCTGCACGGACCACGTCTGTCCACACTCCGTGCCCTTCACTCTGAAGTCCCCTGCCCGTCCCTGTCTCTCCACCGCTCGCGCTGCACGGACCATGTCTGTCCACACTCCCGAATTACAGTGCCCGGAATCTAGCCAGATCAGATGCTGCCCAGGACTACCCGGTGCACACAGGCCAGGGAAGGACTGTTCTGAGCACTCGTGGTTTCAAGGAGACGCCCGGGGAACAATCACAATGAAAACAGCGTGTGCATTTGGAACCAAAGCTTGTTTATTCAGATCACCCTTAGAGTTGAAACCTGTCATTTGAAGGATTTTTAGAGAAACTCAGGTTTCATTTTCAAAAGCTGTAGGTTTCTTGTAGGTATTATTATTTTTTTTGGTAGAGGCAACATAACCCAGTTTGAGGGCCCCTTTAGGGTTTTGGATTCTTTGCAGAGTCTTTTTCATGTTGAATACATACATTTATTCTTTTTAAAACAGTTTGCCCATTTCTTTCCTCCATGACGGAGAGAGAGAGAGAGGCTCCCCGACCGGGTCTTCGTTCCCCCACTTCGGCCAGCCCAGGTCAGCCTGGGTCAGCCATACGCAGGGACATCTCCGGACATGAGCCCCAAAGTCCCCGGCTCCCTGAGCACCCTAATGCTGCTGCGCTCCGTCCGGCCCCAGAGTCACGGCCTGGCCGAGGGTTCCCAAAGCAGTTCTTGGCCCCAGTAACGTCTCTGGCGTCTCACAGGAAGACGAGTCTCCGGAGAAGACCTGGCTCCAGGCGCCGTGGTGGCCAGCGAGTTTTATTTTCGTGTTCGAATATCAGAGACTCCATTACCCTGGCCTCCCACCTATGTCGCACATGCGCAGCTCAGCCCCGAGGCGCCAGCAGGCCTTGGCCTCCAAGAGCAGGGGACCCCCGGTGTCCCGGAGGGAGAGAACGTGGGCTCTGGGCTCACGGCGACCACGCTGCGGCCTGCGTAGAGTCACAGCCCGGCATCTTCTGACCTGAGAGCAAGCACCGGCCTGCAGAGCAGTGGAGTCTCGTGTCTCCCCAAGGCTTGATCCCAAGCAGAGCTGGTTCTGTGCCCTGGGAATGCCCTCAGAGCGGCTGGGCTGTACGCAGTGACGTGGCTCGAAGCCCTGGCCCGGTCAGCCTGAAACACAGCGGGAGCGAGTGCCAACGCCCTAGGTCCGAGAGGCCGGGGACTGGAGGAAGGGCCCGTGCTCAGTGCTCTGACTCCCGCTCCTTCACGCCCATGCATGCGGCTGTGTGCTGCACCACTGACTGCAAGCAAGCGGATCTCTGGGGACATCCGCGGACCGGGGACCCTCCGCTGCCACCCTCCCACACCAGCGCATAGGTAGGTCTGAAGTTCTGAACCAGAAGTAATTGCCGTGAGTAGCCATGGGCTGGATGGTGCCCCGCAGGGTCCCGCGTGGAGCCCTGGTGCCTCCCTGGATGGTATCTGGAGAGGAGAACTTGGGCATTAGGTCTGGATGCTTGGTGGTAGGGCCTTCATGATGGGATTCGAGCTCACGGCCGGCTCTGCAGCCCCTTAGCTAAGGAGCTGCCTCCCGCGTGGCTGACTGTGGGCCCGATCCCAATCTGAGCACTCGTGGTTTCAAGGAGACGCCCGGGGAACAATCACAATGAAAACAGCGTGTGCATTTGGAACCAAAGCTTGTTTATTCAGATCACCCTTAGAGTTGAAACCTGTCATTTGAAGGATTTTTAGAGAAACTCAGGTTTCATTTTCAAAAGCTGTAGGTTTCTTGTAGGTATTATTATTTTTTTGGTAGAGGCAACATAACCCAGTTTGAGGGCCCCTTTAGGGTTTTGGATTCTTTGCAGAGTCTTTTTCATGTTGAATACATACATTTATTCTTTTTAAAACAGTTTGCCCATTTCTTTCCTCCATGACGGAGAGAGAGAGAGAGGCTCCCCGACCGGGTCTTCGTTCCCCCACTTCGGCCAGCCCAGGTCAGCCTGGGTCAGCCATACGCAGGGACATCTCCGGACATGAGCCCCAAAGTCCCCGGCTCCCTGAGCACCCTAATGCTGCTGCGCTCCGTCCGGCCCCAGAGTCACGGCCTGGCCGAGGGTTCCCAAAGCAGTTCTTGGCCCCAGTAACGTCTCTGGCGTCTCACAGGAAGACGAGTCTCCGGAGAAGACCTGGCTCCAGGCGCCGTGGTGGCCAGCGAGTTTTATTTTCGTGTTCGAATATCAGAGACTCCATTACCCTGGCCTCCCACCTATGTCGCACATGCGCAGCTCAGCCCCGAGGCGCCAGCAGGCCTTGGCCTCCAAGAGCAGGGGACCCCCGGTGTCCCGGAGGGAGAGAACGTGGGCTCTGGGCTCACGGCGACCACGCTGCGGCCTGCGTAGAGTCACAGCCCGGCATCTTCTGACCTGAGAGCAAGCACCGGCCTGCAGAGCAGTGGAGTCTCGTGTCTCCCCAAGGCTTGATCCCAAGCAGAGCTGGTTCTGTGCCCTGGGAATGCCCTCAGAGCGGCTGGGCTGTACGCAGTGACGTGGCTCGAAGCCCTGGCCCGGTCAGCCTGAAACACAGCGGGAGCGAGTGCCAACGCCCTAGGTCCGAGAGGCCGGGGACTGGAGGAAGGGCCCGTGCTCAGTGCTCTGACTCCCGCTCCTTCACGCCCATGCATGCGGCTGTGTGCTGCACCACTGACTGCAAGCAAGCGGATCTCTGGGGACATCCGCGGACCGGGGACCCTCCGCTGCCACCCTCCCACACCAGCGCATAGGTAGGTCTGAAGTTCTGAACCAGAAGTAATTGCCGTGAGTAGCCATGGGCTGGATGGTGCCCCGCAGGGTCCCGCGTGGAGCCCTGGTGCCTCCCTGGATGGTATCTGGAGAGGAGAACTTGGGCATTAGGTCTGGATGCTTGGTGGTAGGGCCTTCATGATGGGATTCGAGCTCACGGCCGGCTCTGCAGCCCCTTAGCTAAGGAGCTGCCTCCCGCGTGGCTGACTGTGGTCCGCATCCCAGCCTCAGTGATGGAAACCCACCAGTGCTTGTACACATGCGTGCATGCCTAGCCCCACCAGGACGGAGAGATGAGAAGGGACTGCGCGTGATCGTGCCCTGTGGGGAGTGCGTTCCCTCGCCCCCTCTTTGCCCAGAAGCGATATACCCACTGGCAACTAAAAAAATCAATAAATACAGACAACAGACCACAACTAGAAGCACTCCGGAGAGCTTGCTGTCCCCCTCTCTGCTGTGTGCGGGCAGAATGAGAAGGCCCCCCTGGAGCCCACTGCCTGAGCACCCTGGTCTCGGGCTGCAGGCAGCTTCCCGGTGAGCGGCCTCCGCGTGTGGGCTAGGCAGCCCGAGGCAGCGGCCTGGCTCTCCAGCTGCACAGCGCCCGCCACTTGGGGTCGCGGAGGACAACCAGGTCGTTCTGGAGCCTTTTTAATTTTTTTTTAAATGAACACTTCTTACTTTCATGGTTTGGGGAAGACATACTTTTTAACATAATCATTTTATGTAACTTTATTATTATTATTTTCCAGTTTGATCAGAGAGAGACAGAGAAAGAGAGAGGGGGGGGAGTGAGAAAGCAAGCCTCCAGGTCCGGGAGTTGCTGCTCTGATGCCGATGGGGGAGTCCAGCACCTTTAACCAGCACGCCACCTGACGGCCCCATTCTGGAGCCTTTTAATGGAACTTAGAACTCCAGTCCCACACTTCCTTTCGAAGACACATGGACCAGGCCAGGAGGAAAAGGAGTCGTGCTTCCAGGGTTTATGTGTTTGTCAAATACGAGCTAGACCGTTCTTCTGTACACCTGGAGGTGAATTTGATTATTAGAATTTACATCTCAATAACCTTGGATAAGAACATTGCTTTGGCAAACAGTTCCAGAAGAGCCACATGGGCTGTTGGCCTGTCTACACCTGTTCAAGGACTCCCTGGCAGGGTCAGTTTTGCAGAAATACTTGTTTATTCTTTTGTATGTCTAGAATGGCACCCATTGGAAAATGAACACACACATACACTCACAGCCACACACACACACACACACACCTCCCAAGAACCAATATCAATTCCTGGGAGTACTACAGACTGGACAGATGAAAGAGTGAGAACGACTTCCCTGCTGACCCAGGGCCACTCCGTGCACAGCAGCGCAGATGGGCCACGGCCCGACCAGAGCTCCTGTGATATGCACAGGCCCCCCGCCGACCCTCCTCAGGTGACCCGTGTCTGATCATCTGGGATGACTGTTGAAAACCCAGAGACTTGAGAGCGAATTCCCAAGGATGGGTCTAGGGCCCAGGGGAACAAAATCTCCAGGTGATGTTGTTGAAATATAATCCCCTACCCCTTTTCTTAATGTGCCTGAGGACTTGTGTGCTTGCTGGTGAGAGAGAGAGAGAGAGGGAGAGAGAGGGAGAGAGAGGGGGAGAGAGTGCGATCAGTCACTCCTCATGGGAGATGGCCATGCCACAGTCTCTCTCTTTAATTTTTTTCTTGGGATTTTGGGCACAAATGGTATGTACACGTACAAGCTGCTGGGTCTAGAAATTGAACTGTTCATTCAGTCATGTAGGGTTTGGCTGCCTTAATGTCCTTGCCACCCGCTGACCCCAGAACCGCCCCCTTTTTAAAAATCAATTTACCATTTTGCAGCATTTGACATGGTTGATCTACTCCTTATTGTCATTCTCTTTTCTTATTGCTATGGCCTTACTTCTGGTTTCTTTCAATTTCTCTTGTCTCTTCTGCATAGTTGTCTTTACAGACATCTCATTCCTTGTCCTCTGTCCTTAAGAATGATCTCATCCAGTTCCATAGCTTCAGCTGTATAGTGTCAACTCTCTGACCTATATTATTCCCTTGACTGCCTTGTGGGCATCTGGAAAATTCATAGGCATGTTAGACTTACTGAGAGAGGGGGACAAGGGAGAAAGCTCCCCAGTGGGGCCTGAGCACCTGCCATCCCTCCCCCATTCTCTAGCCTGGGCTTTGGGACACCCATGCAAACTTGACCGGCTGTTTTCCAAGCCTCCGGGGCTGGAATTTGAGCCAGGTGGCCCTGTGGAATCCACAGGTGAGTCTTCTGTAAGTTCTTATCACACCAGGAGGAAGATAAATGATGAAGGAGGCAGGAGGGGCTAAACAGGGCCTTGGGGAGGTGGGAGGGCTGGTGGGAGGGCTGGTCCTGAGTCCCACGGTCCCCTCCCGGTCCCCTCCCACCTCCAGTTCCGGCCTGCTCCTGCTGTTTCCTCCTGCAGGGGGTGGACTGTGAGCTCCACTGAGGGTGAGCTCCGACTGAGCATGAGCGCTGACGAAGGTGAGCTCCAACTGAGGGCGAGCGCTGATGAGCGTGAGCACTGATGAGGGTGGGCTCCGACGAGTGTGGGCTCCGACGAGTGTGGGCTCCGATGAGTGTGGGCTCCGACGAGTGTGGGCTCCGATGAGTGTGGGCTCCGACGAGTGTGGGCTCCGACGAGCGTGAGCTCCGACGAGTGTGAGCTCTGAGTGAGCATGGGCTCCGATGAGCATGGGCTCTGATGCGCGTGAGCGCTGATGAGGGTGGGCTCCGATGAGCGTGGGCTGCTGGGGTCGGCATGGCGGCCCGGGTCCCTGCATTTGGCACCACCGCGGACCATCTCGGGGACTGTCTGGGGCAGTCACCGGGGAGTTTCCCTGATGGACCCCCTGTGTTTGCAGTGGAGTGACAGCGCGATCCGCTTCTGCTCCTCCTCCGCCCCGCCTCCCTGAGACCCGGCTGCTGGTCCCCAGGCCTCTGACCATCTGTGGCCATCACCTTCGCCCCATGGAATTGGCCCGAGGCCGGGTCGTCCCCGTGCACACGCGCCCTCCGACGTGGCCCTCACTAGGTGAGGGGCACGCCACGCTAACACACTGCCGACTCTGCTCCTGGATGCGCTGACCTTTACTGGAACCTTTGAGCAATGTGCATCCAAACCGGACCGGCCTGAGTGCCCTGAGCCCACAGCAGTGAGGACCACTCTCCGCCTGTGGCCAGCAGGACTCGCGCTCGCCCCCGGCTCCGTGCAGGGCGGTCTCTGGGAGGGTGAATGGAACAGGTGAGCCCTTTCTGATTTGGGCTCCCGCAGGCAGTCATGGAAAGCGGGTTCGTCAAGGGAACCGGTGCGTAGCATTTCTTCAGCAGCACCGGCCAGCCGTGCCGATGGGTTACTCTTCTGTGATCTGACCCCGACCTGCGGAGGGGGCGAGACTGGCCCAGGAGTCAGGGTCCTCTGAGAGCCATCCCACGGGCCCGTTTACTCTGCAGGCAAATGAAGGTGCTGGACCAAGGGCCAAGGAATACTAAGGAGGTCCTGGCAGAGAGAGGACATCAATTTGAGACGGATGGAAGAGGTGGACGGCAACGAAAAGCAATTACAGTGCGTGTAACCCTAGCGGAGCACTCGTGTACAGTAGCACGAATTCACGCGTCCATCTACACGTAAAGGCAGACTGAACGTGAACTCGGAACACACAGTAACATCTCTAGTCAAGGTAAGAGGAATGAACAAAGCCAAAGAATTCACAGGTCCTCACGCTGACGAGGAAGGAGACTCAAGTCCCAAACTATTGGATTCTAAGGGGTCAAGGATGTTTGCTGTCATTTCTAGAATAACCACTAAAAGTGGTATTATAACTTCAAAGTTCATGGTTGGGCTGGGAGCAGATGAAATAATTTTTTTTTTTTTAGAGAGATTTTGCTATAGGGCTCTTATGCTTGTTGGAGAGACAGAGACAAAAAAAGCAGAAAGTGAGAAATCACTCCCCAGGGGGATGGCCACACCACAATCCCTTCTCCTCTATTCTCCTCTCGAGACCTTGGGCACACACGCACACGTGCCCTGCATGAGTTTCAAGCCACTGGGTCCCGGTCTTGAACTGTGGTCAGCCATGTGGGAGTCCAGTGACATAACCATTATGCCATCTGCTGGTCCCCTAACCCAAATTTAATCATGGGAAGATTAAGCAAATTGAAATGGACAGGAATTCTTCAGAACAACTGACTTGGACTCCTCAAAAATGTATACTTGAGGGCCAGTTGGTGGTGTGGTGGTTAAGGCACCCAATCCCACATGGCTGCTGAAACAGTTTAAGTCCTGGACCTGGTAACTTGGAAAACATTCCAGATGTGTGCATGCATGCCCAAAATTATATAAGGAAGAAAAGGGATTGTGGCATGGCCAGCCCTCCTAGGGGAGGGTGCTTTCCCACTTTCCTTCTGTCTCTGTCTCTCTCCAGCAAGTGCACAATCCCTTTGCAAATTATAAAGACAGTAATTTGGAAAAAAAAATTATACTTGATGAAAGAAAAAAAAAAATCCCCCATTCTAGATTTGAGGAAAACAAACAGAAGCGACAACTAAATGCTATGCAGGACCCTTGAGATGATTTTCAAATCTTATGAATGACTCTGCAGGGTCTTACTGACACGATTTGCAGTTTGTGTATGAATTGTGCATTAGGTACTATACATTAATGTTAAACCCCCACAAATACATCATTGTAGGAGGATGCCCTTGTTTTGGGGAGATACAAGGCTCAGTGTTTAAGAGGGTGGGGCCAGCAAGTGGCATGGTAGTTAAGGTCCTGGACCCTGTATGACTGACAGCAGTTCGAGTCCTGGACTTGGTAGGCTGGAAATTGCACTGGGCATGTGCACATGTGTGCCCAAAATCCTGAGAGGAGAGTGGAGGAGAGGGGATTGCAGTGTGGCCATCGCCCACTGGGGTGATACCTCACTTTCCCTTTTTCTTTCTCTCCAGTGAGTGAGTTGCCCTCAGGCAGAAACCAAACGAAAACAAAGAGTGCACTCGCTTGACATCTGCAGCGGAATCTCAGGGCGGCGTGGCCAGAACCACGTGGGGGCACTGCTGCCTCATCGAAGCTGAAATGTGGGTGTGTGTGAGGATGTTTGCGAGTGTGAGTGTGTAAGTGTGAGTACACGAGAGTGTATGTGTGTGAGTATGAGTGTGTGAGAGTATGCATGTGTGAGTGTGCGAGTGTGAGAGTATGAATGTGTGAGTGTG